GACATCTCCCCTTCTCTCTTACACAGACGTCTTTTAAGATGGCACTGGATATCCACAGTTTCTATTAGTAGTAAGGAGCATGCTTAAACAAAGAGCCCCTGCTCCATACCTGGGATCAGAGACTGAGGGAGCTGGGTCTTTTCAGCCTGGAGAAGAGACTCCAGGGGGATCTGTTGGTGACAAGGTACATGAGGAAGTGTAAGGTGAAGGTAGGTGGAGACCTGTTTTCCCCTGCAGAGGAAGGCAGGACACGCTCCAGTGGAGCAAAGCTCAGGAAGCCAAGGTTCCATCTGGATGCCAGGAAGCACTTCCTGACAGTCAGGACCCCGAGGGTGTGGAATGGGCTTCCACGAGGGGTCGTTGAGGCCCCATCGGTGCGGGTGTTCAAGGATAGGCACATGGAGGGCACATGGTGGGCATGTCATGAGCGGAGCTGACTAGAGCTGGGGGTCAGACTAGATGGCCTGGGAGACACCTTCTGACTCTCTCTACTTCTGTGTTTCTATGTTTCTATCATGTTTTGTCAGTGCAAGAGGTTTTTCAGCTACACTCTTGTACCTAGTGACCTGGCAAGCGCCACTGAATTCAACATGTCTTGTTTCTATGTAGACATATATGATGCTGTACTATGTATTAAACAATCCTATGCAGACTTCCCTATCCTGGTATCCTGGCTGTATGCTTTAGATTTCAGCTCTCATCAGCCACACTCAGCATGGTCAATGGTCAGGAATGCTGGAAGTTGCAGTCCAGAACTGCTGGAAGAAAGTAGGTTGGGGAAGGCTGAGTTAACTTTCCAGTAGTGCAGCCATGGAGGGTGGGGTACATTTCTAGTTTTTTCCATCATTTTGGGGGATTTTGAAAATGCATTTTTTAAAAATCCGAAAATACACATTATGTGTTCTGCCCTAAAATATCCATTTGATAGGACTTTTGAGCCAAGAACTGCAAATATATCTAGTTCTGGGCGGAAAACCATGCAACATCCACAAAGTAAAAAGCTGTGCATTCATCCACTAGATTCCGATGGGCTAACGAGGCAGCCTGGCTAGTGAAGAGACAGCTGGGCTTGGCTCCAGGAAACTCGTATTTATCCCCACTTCCTCTGTTGACTTGTCATTGGCTGTGGCATATTCTCTTGTCCGCTTTGTAACATGGGGGAAGCAGTGACTCTCTGTACAACGTTGTTCTTCAGTGCCGTCAAGGCTGCTTTGACGTACGAGGCCCCTATGAATGGATGCCCTCCAAAATGCCTTCTTGGGAATTCAAGGGGGGCACTCTTTCATAACAGGGTGTAAAGAAAGGTCTGCCCGGAGGACCCAGCCATCCCTTGCCATTCCTTCCCTTTGGCATGTTCTGAATGAGCAAGTGCACAAGGATATTTAGGAACTACCTTGCGGGGCACCAGGCTGCCCTCACTGGAAAGGTGTGGGATAGGCCAATGAGATCAAAGATCCTCCTTGTGCTCCATTTTTCCCTAAAGTGATCAGGTGTATCAGCAATGGATGAAAAGACGTACAAGTACATGTATTTTCAATAATAATGTCAACTACGTAGGTCAGAGAAGAATAGAAAATGAAGTGAATTCCTAACATCTTTGCAGACTGCTTTCTGCTGCTGCCTGTTTTTCTTCTTGATTTAGCTTTACTGCCTGCTTTCACTTTTGCTTTAATACAGCCATGGGTTTCATTTATGAACGGGTGGGCTGATGCTAGGATGAGATCTTGAGTTGGAAGTTCGCTGAGGACAGAGGTGGGTGACTTGCAGCCACAGTGCCCCATGCCAGTCCTCAACCGGAGGTCAGCTCAGACCTCCGGCAGGAACACACTGTCCCTTCCAAAGCAGTCCAGGCAGGGAGGAGAGACAGGAGGGCTGAAAGAGAGATCACAGGCTTGGCGTATTGGAGCATGGCAATGCTGGTAGCAGACAAAGAAAAAGTGGCAGAAAGAGAAAAGGGGTGGTCTGCTCATCTGGGGATCTGTCCACTCTGTCAGCATGCAGTTACTGACACAACCCCCTGAAAGGGGAGGACGGTGGAGACCATGATCTCCATGCAGAGGGTTCCAGGTATCTCCAGGTAGGGCTGGAGAAAGGTGGGGAAATACCCTTTCTGAAATGCTAGGGAGCTGCTGCCAGTCCATGGTGACCCCACTGGCCTAGATAGACTGAGAGTCTGTTTTGTTTACCAGGGACTTTCCTATGTCCTGGTGAAGGTAGGCTTCTTGAAAAAATAGTTCTGCCTCCCCTTTGGTTTAGACAATGTTATCCAAACCTTAATGATGCAGTGGCCTATCCCTCACTAGAGAGGGGTCATCCACTTAGTCAAAGCTGTACAGATAGTTTTCACAAGGATTATCAATACCAAGTTCTTGAGCACCATGTGTTGAAATTGAAACTTATTGTGAGCTGACTGGCTGAAGAGAAAACAAGGAGCAATTTTGAAATGAGGCAGACCACATGTCCATCTAGATAGTCATTATCGACTCTCACCAGGAGATCTTAGCCAGTTTTGTTGCTATGGGTCCTTGAACCAGAAATACCAAAATAAGACATCTGGACTAAGTGTGTACATTCTTCTCTAAATGTTTGAAAAATGGAATACATGTAGCCCCATTCATATTGCATGGGGGCAACTATGTTGCATATGCAAAACTAATACAGTCCATTTTCCATTTCTCTTTTCCATATTGTTTTCTTCTCTTTCACGTTCATTTTGACCAGTGTGCCCGATCATGGGCAGAAGGGTAAGTCAGGTGCCCCAGGGGAGTAACGGAAGGCCTGCAGATCTGGTGCCACTGGGATAGAAAACACCAAAGTTGCTGACAGAGAAAGAGAGGGGAAGTCTCTGATGGAAAGGTTGGGAGACCCATTTGTCCAGCATCCCCATTCAGTCCACAGAACGCTCCACAGGATGGGTACTAGCAGTGCCTTTGAACCCACTTGATCCGATGCCCTATGAAACCCTCAGGGGCTCCGTCCTTAGTCTTCTGCTGTATAGCAATGAACCTGAGAGCCTGTGTGGTACAGTGGTTAAGAGCGAGGGGTGGCAGATCAGACAACTTGGGTTCTAGTCCCCACTCAGCCATGGAGCCCACTTTGGGCCAGTCACTCACACAGGGCAAGAGCAGCAGGGGATGAGCGATGTAAGCCACTTTACGCTCTTTAAAAAAGAAAAAGGTGGGCTATAAATCTAATAAATAAATAAAGGAATAGCAACAAAGCACACACTGATCCACTTTCTGCCTTGGACCAGCCACTGACATGCCCTTCATATCCTTGAAACGCATGAAATCCTAATAAACCTCTTGCAGCAAAACTAGAGCACCTGCCTATTTCGTTTGTTGGAAATGTGGTCCCAATAGTTGTCCTTCTTTTTAACTGTACTTTATTTACCTGTGATCTCTTTCATGGTCAGTAAACATGCATTTTGCTTACTGGAGCCATCGGAGTTGTGTCTCAGGGCTTTACTCTAAGCGCCCCTCTTCATCAGCTACTTTAGGTGACGCTGCTTAGGTTAGTCACTGTACACAGTTTTATCATCCTTTACTCTTCTCCTTTGTTCTTTCCATTTGTTTGATCTCCAATTTCCTTTACCTCTCTGTTTATTTCTACCCAAGTGTGTCAAGTGAGGATGTTTAACATGTAAGAGAATAAAAATAAAATGTGTGCCAAATGAAGAAAGAAAATCCTTTAGGCTCGAGTTTTTTTAAGAAATCATTTTCCTCCTTAGATCTTTATGTTTTTAATAACACAGGACAGATTGCTTAAAGGTTTCCTTTTAAAAACCAGAGGTTTTACATATTGAAAAGGTGCAGGTTCTAAAGGAAGGATTCAGGATTAAGCTAATGTTGATCATCACTCTGATGCAGCCTGATAGAGGACTGCTGTTTTTGTAACTGAATCTTAAAGGCCCTTGGAGGAGAGTGTAATGTACCATGCTGATAAAAATCAAGGGTAAACAGAGGTTCCATCATCCTTTGTCATGAACATCCCAGGCAACTAATGCCACTGTGAAAGCAAAGATGGTGGAGAGGAAGCACCCGTTCCTTACCTGGACTCCAAATGGTTAAAGATTAATGCTTCCTGACGGTTTCTTCTTTTAGGAGAAAAATATCTCCAATCTCGGTCACATGTTTATGGGTTTACACTTGACAGAGGCATCTGTCATTGATTAAGAGGTTAATGATCAGTAGTTTCAGGTCTAGATATTTTGTAACAGCTGAACCACCCTGCAACAGAGGTCAGGGAAAGACAGATGATTTACAAACCCATTAATGTGTTTTCTTGCACTTTTTAAAAGTAAGCAGAGTCATCTAAAGTAGGGGAGCTAGAATATTCATTGAGGTAGTAGCAGTAACTATTACCTTAAATGCCAACCTTCGAAAGCAAATGAAGAATGTTTCAGACTGTCCTTAGACTGATTGTATGGCTGGCCTTAGTTACCCTACTTAACAAGCCTTCTTCTGGACATCTGAGCTGAATGTTAAGTGCCTTTTTCTCAATGCAGAAAAGCAAGTGTTGACCATGTTGTGTTACAGCAATGGAGCCAGTGGCCCTGGGAGGCCATGGGCTCTCCTGCACAGGAGGCCTTCAACAGGCAGTTGGACAACTCTCGGTCAGGGATGCTTTCACTTGGAGCCATGCACCAAGTGGGTGGTGGGACTTGATGGCCTTGTAGGCCCCGTCCAATGCTGCAGTTCCGTAATTCTATGAAAACTTCTTGTTTCAATCTTGTGTGTTTGATGTGGGTGTGCATAGGAAGCAAGGCCATCCAAAGCTATCCCCCACAAAGAACTAATAGATATCAAAAAAAAAAAAGTTATACTATGAGAAACTTCAATAGGACATGGTAGAATGTGGTCACTAAAATTGCCTTCTTAGGAATCCTAACCCATGTTTGGTTTTGGACTCGGGGGAGCTCAGCCATAGTCCTGAGGGCCTCACAAGGAGTACATATTACATAATTTTGCCCTCTCTCTCTCTCTCTTTTTTATTTCAAGAATGCTTGAAGATGATCTGAAACTCAGCAGTGATGAAGAAGATAATGAACAGGTAACACTTTTTGACATTCAGTCGTTGTTTTCTCAGCTGCCAATTACAGCTTTTATTGTATTTGCAATGCATTATCAGTGTCAGTCTAGTACCTTGGATATCATTTCCACCATGACAGTTAACAAGCTGCAGCCTAATAAACTTTGCAATTCCTTTGCATCATGCTTCAGTCCAGGGGCTCCAGAGCCTTTGTTATCCTGATTCAAGTATTTAAGATAGGGATGAATAAGACTTTATTTATGTTCACAGATCATGCAAACATGTCACATTTGCAACCCCAATGTAAATGCAGAAAGGACTGGATTTTGGGGAATTCTCTTGCAATTTTACAAGCTTACCTTGACATTTGAAAATGTGTGCTTTCTGCCAATGTGCACTCTGAAAATACATATTTGCACACTTGCACAAATCTTCCTAAAGTGTGTATTTTCACACTTTAGCCTATGGAAAAATACACATTTAAAAAAATATGGGAAGGGTTACACACTTCTGAAAATGTGCATCTTTCCCATCAGCATACACACATTTTTCCTGACTAGGAAGAAAAGATGGTTATATGTAAGAATGCCAATCAGGCAGACCAAACTTCAAGGAAGTGTTCAGAAAATCTCAGTGAACTAGACCATGGCCTCTTTGCCCATCCCTAGTTCTTCCTATCTTGTTCTCATCCCAAACATCTCCAGCCTTTGGTAAGATACTAAGACCTTCCTGCCCTTGCATGATACCAAAGGAACCAGGTTAGCTGCTATTTCCGAGGCTCTTCCATTTGCAATTCCCAAAGGTTGGCCATACTCTGTTCAGTTTCTTGTTTGAGAATTCTTTGGGAAAGATGGGGGCCTGGAGCCTTAGTCACAAAAGACATATATCGCATGGCTGGTGCGTGCTTTCTATTTGTTGTCAGCTCTTTGGCTCTTTCTTTGGTAGCAAAGGAAGATGGAAAATGAGGAGTTAGATCTGGAATCAATTTTCATTTACAGCTGTGGAGCTGTTATTGATGTGGCACTCTTAGTTCACTAGAAAGATCTAAAGATACAGACCTTGTGTTTCTCTCACTAGGGGTGAACAATCCGTATCAAATGATTTTTAAAAAAAAAGGTAAAGAAAACTCTGTTGATGGCTTTATAAAAGTTTTGTCAAATTGTTTGAAGTTCTCCACCAGATTCTATGTTAAATATTTTTTTTAAAATATGCATGCTGGCCAGCCTACAAGGCACAAATTCTTAACAGCAGGTAAACATCTGTTTAATGTTTTATTAAGTAGTATCATTAAACTGAGCTTAAGTAATGTCTGCATTTTAAAATGTTACAGTTCTCTGGCAGTGTGGAATCTGGGATAATGTATCACTGAACCTTTTGTGGCATAGAGAAAGCATTTGCAGGGCCAAAACACAAAGATGGCTTTCCTGTGTTTCAGAAGACTAGCTCAGCCTCCATCCCCACTGAGTTGGGATGCAATATGTGGGGATATTGGGTGCAATGCAACTCCAGGGCTGCACAACTGCTTCAGACAACAGCTCAGGACTCTCCGCAGCCATGTGTATCTTTCACCACCTGCATCCAGTAGATCAGAGGCCCGGATCAGTCTGGTGCATCAGCTCCTTAGAAAAAAAAACCTCTGTCAGCCAGGGAATGTGTGCTGCTGCTCGCATGATGTGAGCCGGGATGGAGTGCAAGCTAACCACCACTTTGAGATCTCAGGAAAACCAGCCTTCTTGAATGATGAGCTGGTCATAACTTCATATCAGATTTCAGGGCCAGCCCATCCAGTACACAGAGAGACTGCCTCCAATGACAGACTCGGGGAGGGGGAGCTTCAGGAGCCTCCCAGCTGTCCCTTGCAAACTTCCCAGCTGCCCTCACCCATCAGGAGATGGAGCCCTGCATCCCACACACCTTGTCCTGAAGGAAGTGTCAACTGCCAATCCAGCAGCAGCTGCCAACCCAAGCAGCAAAGTCTCTTGGGCTGGCCCTGTAACACTGGCAGGCAATCGGGCAATGCTATGCTTGTTTAAACAGAAGCAGCTCCTCCAATCCCCAGCCAGTTGTAAGACTGTTATAAAGTTGGGGTGATTGAATTAAGCATGTACATCTCCCTAATTCAGTGCTCCAAGGAAGGCAAAGATCTGCCTCTTGCTCACCAACCGGGCTGGCGTGAGCTGGACCCCACTAAGGGAATTGGTTGTACTCCCTGCCTGGCTGAACTGAGGAACATCCACGTGGGATGCTGTATCAGGTCAGCTTCTCCCATGTCATGAGAATCTCACACGGTGATGGGGAGCTCCATCCCAGAACATGCCAGATGCTTACTAGGATCACATGCCCTCCAAGTAAGGAAAGGGAAGCTTTTTCTCCTTCTGGTCTTCATCCTTTTCCCTCTTTTCAGGAACGGGTCAGGAGTCCAGCCGCGTTGGCTTTCTTGTATACTTCCTTTAATAACAAACAAGTAGGAATCCATTAGAAAGTCTCAAAGTGCAGATAAAGGAAACTCTGCATTTGGGTTCTCTCCAACTGTCTTGCCTCATCCCAATCCACTTTAAGTTCAAATGCACCAAAGTAAGTTGTCGCAAGATTCAGTAGATGGCATTCACTCGTTTCTTCAGCCTTGTCTTCTTGGTTCTGCATTCTCCTTATAGAAACATAGAAAACAGAGTGAGTCAGAAGGGTCCTCCCGGGCCATCTAGTCTGACCTCTGGCACCAGCTGGCTCCGTTCATGACATGCCCACCATGTGGACGTCCAGCCTATCCTTGAACACCCACACCGATGGGGCCTCAACGACCTCGGGGTCCTGACTGTCAGGAAGTGCTTCCTGGCATCCAAACGAAACCTTGGCTCCCTGAGCTTTGCTCCGTTGGAGTGCATTCTGCCTTCCTCTGCAGGGGAGAACGGGTCTCTACCCATATCCATGTGACATCTCCTCACATACCTGTATGTCGCCAACATATCCCCTCTGAGTCTCCTCTTCTCCAGTCTGAAGAGACCCAGTTCCCTCAGTTTCGCCTCATACAACATCCCCTGCAAACTGGCCACCAACCTTGTGGCCCTACGCTGCACTGACTCCAACCTGGCTATATCCTTTCTGTAATGAGGGGCCCAAAACTGAACACAATACTCCAGTTAGAGGTACACCAGAGTCGTACAGAGTGGCAGTAACACCTCTCTTGATCTAGAAGCCACACTTCTGGCTATGCAACCAAGATTGGTGTTCGCCCTCTTGACCACCGCATCACACTGCTGACTCATGTTTAGCCTGCAGTTAACCAGTACCCTTTCACAAGTGCTGCTCTCCAGCCACTTGTCACCTAACCTGTACTTATGACAGCTATTCCTATGCCCCAAGTGCAAGACCTTGCACTTATCCACATTGAACGCCATCCTGTTGTCTCCTGCCCACTTCCATAGTCTGTCCAGACCCTTTTGGATCTGGAGTACATGCTCCTCAGTTGTGGCCACTGCTCCAGTTTTAGTGTTGCCTGCGAATTTGATCAGCAGACTGTTCACCCCTTCTTCCATGTCGTTAATGAAAAGATTAAACAGGATTGGCCCCAGGACAGAGCCCTGGGGGACCCCGCTTGTCACTGGCCGCCTTCCCGATGATTCCCCGTTAATGGTTACCTTCTGCTTTCAGTCAGTCAGCCATGCCCTATGAAGCATTCCTGTTTAAGCTTTGGACCATGTGTCAGTAAATTAAGCACAGGGCCAGTACACTGGCTGTTCCAGACCAAAGTAATTCTGATATCCCTTACCTGACTTGCTTTGACACAATCCTGTGCATGTTTCGACCAGAAAAGATCCTTCAACTCACAGCACTCAACTTGCAGTGGATTGCTTCATCTCGCTTCCCTGCATTACTAAATGAATGATTTTTACCCCTGTGGATCTCAAAAAGATCTCATAGTTGCCTTCTAGTTAATCCCCCTTCCTGATCTAGTTGTAATCTTTTGTTTCTTTCTTTGCTGTGTTTGGCTTAGATAATTGCACACAAAATGTATTCCTTGATCGCTTAGTGGCTTTTGAAGCCTCACACTGATTTTCCTTTTCCCTCTACAGATGATGAAAGCATGGAGTATTTATAACCAGTAGTCTCTTTGTTTTTTAACCCTTTTTAAAAGTTTGCTAATTTGGAAGACAGAACCAGTGTTATTTCAAAGAGATGCAACAGCTGTTTCCTTCACTATCCCGCACACTCCCTCCCCATGTTTAGCTGGGGCCTGGCAAAGTTGTTTACCTCCCAGAGAAAACCCTGACATTTCTCTTTATTTTGTTATCAGCAGAAAAGCTGAGGAACCATTTCTCAGCAAATGACACAATACCTTGTCCAAGGTATGGGGCGGCGGGTGGAATCCAATGGATTAGGATGAAACAAGCTGCAAAGCATTTTGGCAGAGTATTTTAATGTAAGCAGTTCACCTGCAAAGGTGTTTCATTGAAGTAGCAGGCAAAATGATTCTGTTACAGCAAATAGAAGTAATGTAGAGATCATTCTTCTAAAGACAAATATGGATGGCTTCCCACCACCTTTGATAAAAGGGCTTTAACTGCATGCACCAATGCAGAGGATCCATAGAAATATCCCGAGACATTTTACTGGCTGGTATCCCTGCTTCCCTCAATTTTCTTCACATGCTTCCAAAGTTGTTGTTGTTAGTTGTGAAGTTGCATCCAACCCATCACAACCTCATGGACAACATGGTACTGTCCATGGGGTTTTCATGGCAAGGATACTGAAGTGGGTTGCCACTTCCTTCTCCAGTGGATCACGTTTTGTCAGAGCGCTCTGCTACGACCTGTCCGTCTTGGGTGGCCCTGCACGGCATAGCTCATCGCTTCATTGTGCTACGCAAACCCCTTCACCATGACAAGGCAGTGATCCATGAAGGGGCTTTCAAAGTAGAGGCAACCAAATTCTCCTGGAAATTTGGGTTAAGGCCATATGTGACCATACTTCTGGCAATTATTGAAAATAAAGATTAATTTAAAGCAAATCTCAGTTCCTGGGGT